CAAATAGAAGGAGGACATGGGTAGCAATAAAAATTTGATAGAGGGTGTAACCCTTCTGCACTCCAAAAAGGAAAAATAAATGCTGCCTTTACATACACTGTAACCCGGGTAAATATTATATAGTGTTTATTGCTACCAATTGCTGGCAGTTCTAGTTCTTTGTGAGGCTGATAGTTTGCTATGCTTTGAAAAAATGTTATTTTATTTTAAATTACCTGAATGGCAGGAGATCAAACACCACACACCATCATATAGGTAAATGATTCAGAGGATGGACATTCCTCCCCTCTTCTCTCAATACAGCACAGAAATCAGTGAAGGGTAAGCAAAATCCCTTATGCTGGGTTTGCACTAGCAGCAAAGCCTGTGGTTCTTCTGAAATGTGACCGCTTTTCAGAGATGTTTCACAGGCAAGGATGAGTCAATATGTTGCCTCCTCGCTGCCTATTCAAAATGAAAAGTTGACAGGGGGGATAATTCTTGTGAAGTATCGCAGCATGTGTACACCCCTGTCCAGCTGCCTTTTCAGCTGAAGGGAAGCAGGTGCGGGTGGTAAAAATGCATCCCCACCACTTGTTTTTACTGCCATCAAGCGCAATTGTATATGAACCCATAGGGGTCCTTACAGTTAAGTAAACTATGCAAATTATAACTATACACCTGTTTTGCATGGGGTACGATTCATTCTAATGGAAGGCATGAAAATTGTGGGTCGAACGTACAATATGAAAACAGCTTCTCAATCTTAATATTCAAATTAATATTTTGTATTTGCATCTGCATTTTTATTTAAATCTCAGTTACTGGATTTAAACGTTTATGGATTTTTTCTCCAGGACGTATAACAGATCCTTTCTTTTTATGAATCTTTCTATATCAGCTATTTGATCAAAGTTCCCGTACTTGAACCTTCCTTAAACCAAAGCTCCTGAAAGGGTCAAGAGGAGAGAATACCTCTGAACAATGCAGGTAACTTTATCCCTTTTCACACAGGACATAAATGGAATTTCTTTTCCTCTAGGAGAATGGAATTCCTTCCTTATCAACAAGTGCCATTTCAAATTTTAGACCAATAATTACATCCAGTATGGACTTTCTGCTTCTGATGGCCCTATTGTGACCATCTCTTTATGCTGTCAGGCCTTTTATAAAGAGGTTCACCAATTTTAAATACTGTATGTGCTTTTGGATTTATTAAAGGTATACTTTCCTTCTTGGTTATGTGAACTCATGCTTTTTTCAGGGTCTTTCATACTACTGTGTTGTGGTAATAAGTGACTTTACTTGAGCTGTTGAAATACCACGCCATTCATTCTGAATGGCGCCCCAACACTGTGGTGTTCCTGCCTCTGGTCTGTAGATGTCACTATCTATATTTGTTAGACTTATAATACTTATCTATACTCTGTATAAGTTTTTTCTGGTTCCTGTTATAGTATACTCAGAAGGCTGCATATGTTGCACTCTTTAACTACTCAGTCTCTCAGACTACGGTACACAAAAAATGCATTGTGCCAAAGGCCGTGCATTGCAGCAATGCCTAGCAAAGTACTAATGTGTTGCGGTACAGTGCACTGCTAGAAATGCTACATTCTCTGATGCATTAGGAAGCCCTAACACAATGCACATTAACATATTGCATAATGCAATGCAATGGTGTGACCAGGGGCGGACTGACAACTCATGGGGCCCCCGGGCAATAGGCGATCATGGGGCCCGTGTCCTTGCCCACACTCAAACCACACCAAAAAAAAGCCTATGACAGGTACCAGGGGCATCTCAGGGGGCCCCCTTCTGACCCCGGGCCCCCGGGCAGTGCCCGAGTTCCCAAATGGTCAGTCCGTTGTGTGACTGTCCCCTCAAACATCTAACCACAGCCAGTATGTGTAATATTCCCTTGCATTTGACTGGTTTCACTTAAATAAAAGCATAACTATATCTACTTTGAATACTTTAGTGTAGAGGTCTTCAAAATGTTATGTACAAATGGGGCAAAAAAACAATTATTAAGCTAATTCCTTTGCTAGTTGAATGTTTCTCATTGATTTAAAATGGAAATTACAGCTTTGGCCACTAGATGGCACTAAGTATCATAGGAAATTTCAGTGATACTTAGCTCCATCTAGTGACCAAATACATTTAAATCAATGAAAAACATTCAACCAGTGCATGAAATAGCCTAATATCATTCAATGTTTGCCCCATTTGCACAGAACTAATGTACATGCACCTTCACTAAGCAAATTCCTTTGCATTTTATAAAAATACAACAGTGTTTTAAAACTAAATGTCATCTAGTTATGCTTTACATCTACTTTCAAGTCAGCAAGTGCTGGCAAAAAACAAAATTCTTTTTATACACAGTTCTGGAGGAGAATGCATAAGAAAAGAATATTCTGTTCTGCCTAATGTGCAGGAATGAAACACACTATATGACTGATGTGAAGCAGGACGATTATATTACGCTTTCCTATTAAAGCTCAGCATTAGGAGATAACGGGATATTTGCTGGCACAGGCCAGCGATCATTGTCTCCATTTCTGAAGTTATCTGTATAATTGTGGACGGGGCTATTTTAAAGCATCATTCCAGATAAAGGGAACAGCAGGGCCGTTTCACCACAATACATCTCTGAGGTTGTTCCCTGGGCCTACGATTCGAGGGCAGCCAAGTGTAACGGTGGGAAAGGAGAGGGGGACATGGGAATTTTTTGCCTCTTTGTACTGGACTTTTCCTGCTTCCTGTGTGACATCACCACCTCCATGATGTTTCTTTCATAGGCCAAAATATATTATGAGCAAAACAACAAAAAGCTTTTAAAACTTTGCATAACACATTAGTAGCACAACAGTTAGCTCTAGGGAACTTTTATAGTTTTTTTTTTCAGAACACTGAAAGTAAATATATACTCTAACCAGACAACATTTATTTAGCTAAATCACTGTGTATCATGAACAACTGCCACTTTTAACTAAAATACTTATTTTTACTTTATTTTTTTTTTCCTTTGTTTCATATTAGTGTTGTGGATTTCTTGTAGCCTATTTCGACCCCTTGTGTTTTGGACCAACTTCTTGACAGTGACTAGTGATGAGCTCAGGCATGTTGCAAACCCATGTGTGTGAACCCACCATGAAGTTGTCACCTGTACAGGCCAATTATCTGCAGCTGGGGCATTCGCCTGCCGGGGGGGGGGGGGGGGGGTATATATATGTAGCTATGGGGCTGGGAATGCCTCGGCTGCAGATAACTGGCCTGTACAGGTTAGCTTGGGCATGTTGCAAACCCAGGTGTGTGAACCCACCATGAAGTTGTCACCTGTACAGGCCAATTATCTGCAGGTGGGGCATTCGCCTGGGGGGGGGGGGTATATATGTAGCTATGGGGCTGGGAATGCCTCAGCTGCAGATAACTGGCCTGTACAGGTTAGCTTGGGCATGTTGCAAACCCATGTGTGTGAACCCACCATGAAGTTGTCACCTGTACAGGCCAATCTGCAGCTGGGGCATTCGCCTGGGGGGGGGTGTATATATGTAGCTATGGGGCTGGGAATGCTTCGGCTGCAGATAATTGGCCTGTAGAGGTTAGCTTGGGCACGTTGCAAACCCATGTGTGTAAACCAACCATGAAGTTTTCACCTGTACAGGGAAATTATCTGCAGCTGGGGCATTCGCCTGGGGGGTGTATATATGTAGCTATGGGGCTGGGAATACCTCGGCTGCATATAATTGGCCTGTACAGGTTAGCGTGGGCATGTTGCAAACCCATGTGTGTGAACCCACCATGAAGTTGTCACCTGTACAGGCCAATTATCTGCAGCTGGGGCATTCCCCTGTGGGGGGGGGGGGGGGTATACATGTAGCTATGGGGCTGGGAATACCTCGGCCACAGATTGGCCTGTAAAGGTGACAGCTTCCTGGATGGCTTGCACACGTGGGCTTGGATCCTAGTCCAAACATGCCCTTCGTGTTCCTGCCAAGAAGGTTCTTGTTCAGACACTCTGAGAGCAGGGGATGTGTCGGACCACTGTAGAGAGGCCACTGCTTCCCCACAGAGTGGAAGGGTCCCACTCTGCTGCATGCTGGCATGACACAGGCTTTTCTACTCAGGCCATGGCTGATTTTTAAAGAAAGCAAACTATAAGACTTTGCAAACCTTTAGTTTTGATGCACACAGAATGTATTTAGCTAATCTGAAATTTCAATTGGGCTTTAAAGAAGAACTCTGCTAAACACTAATACACCTAGACTGACCACAAAACATACCCTTGAAGCAATAGTAGAAAAGCACTTTAACCCCTTTGTTCCCTCATCGTGGTGTTCCACGAACACTTGGTGGGGGGGGGGGGGGGGCGGAAGTATTAGCAATCATACGACCATTTGCTGTCACAGTGGTCACATGATCAGTAGCCAGTTTCACCGGTTAAAGATAGTGATGACCAAGAGCTGCCACCCAGTGATGCATATATGCAGCGTGCGAGCTTTAAATGCTGCACTTATATGTTATGCAGATGGCAACAGGTTAAAGTGAAACTCCAGCTAAACTAACTTGGATGAAGTAATGCCAGGTGTTTTGTTCATGATCACTTTTATTGTGTAAAAGACCATATGAACTTTTATTCACATATATTTATATTTTTTATATTAGTATCATAGCGCTGCACTATATATACATTATTCTTGTTACAAGGTCCAGTGATTCCTTAGAGTGTTCCAGCGGCTGATTTCAGAGCGCTCGCTTCATCTTTATCCCATAGGTTAGAACCCCTGCCAGACTTTTATTGCTATCTTTTGTCCCCATTGATGGGGAGATACACTTCTACGTTCTGTTCTGGTGACCACTGACATAATCAAATCTTACAATGACTAATGACAATTAATTCCTTTTTTGATTGCAAGTAGGGAAATCGATTGAAAATAAAAAAATTATACTAAAATCTGTTATATATTCAGACGTCATTATTCTTGAAACCCCAATGAAAAGTAAACTCATTTTCTCACCTTTCCCGGCTCACATTCCGTCCCGTCTGCCCATGGTGTGTGCTGTGTTCGGCAGCCCTTGTGTGGCCCCTCCATATTAATGCACCACAGTCTCCGGCACTGCATTTGCTTCGCAGGGACAAACAGACACAGTTCATTCCCAGGCGGTTTAATGTATAACATATAAATTCAAAGAAAACTGCCTGCTCTGCACTTTACAGTGACACTTTTCCCAAAGCTTCTTTTATCTGGCTAAAGGATCCAAGTCTATAACAGCGTTAATGACCCTCTATGTAGCCTGAAACAACCTATTTAAATATGGAACAAAGTTTACATTCACACTGGGAAAGGCTGTAAAGCCAGCAAATGCACATTAACAGCCATTGTACATAACTAACACATTAATGACCTGAAAGTGTCTAAAGAGAATTAACAATGGGCTAACTTGCAGTTTTTCTCAGGACACAGAACACAAAAAAGCAACTCAAAGTTGTGATTAAAAAAAATCAATGTGTTTAACAAAGGACCATAAAATTACAGCTAAAATATAATAATAATAAAAATAATAATAAAAAAGCACATACTAGGTTATTGCATATTTGTTTTTTGTCTGCACTTAGTAATGTTTAACATGTCACGTTATGCAAATGTAAACAGTGAAAGCATCACAACTTTGTTATAACTTCAGTATAGATTTATTAATTTTAATTAAAAAAAAATCAGAAGGTAAAAGCCAACACATTTCAGGGGCTCACAACCCCAGCATCATCAGGGCATGAATTCTGGCAATAATGAAACAGGATATCTTGTTAGGGTTTAGGGCATTTTTTATGGCTGTACTCCATGAAAACAGCTAAATACATTGCTGAAATTCATATATAGTACCTGTTCTACCTGTCAAATTTAGCTTGGTCACCTCCCTGCCTATGATTGGACAATAAAGGAGCAGTGGCAGAGCAATGAGATCTCGCCTATGCTCTCTCTTAGCACCATGATCCTTGGCAGGTGATTAATGTAATGCACCTGATTCTTTCTTTTATTCAGGGCATAACAATCCTCATACTAAGTTAAATTCCAGTAGTTGCATTAGTTATAGTTACAAAAAATTTTTTTTTTTTTTTAGTTCTCAGTTTCCCTTTTTTTTTACTTATTGTTTTCCCCCTAACTCTAGGAATTATAAAAAAACCTATTCTTGAAGTGGGGGCCCCTCACACTGCAAGAGTTAAATGCTTGTTAACTCTAGGGGATGAGGAATAAGGCATAATACTTACCTTCCTGCTCACTCTAACAGGCCCCCTCCATCTATGCGACCAGTCCCCTGAAGCCTCTTCTAAAAGATACTCCAAGCTGCAGTTGCACTATGACATCATTCTGTACAATGTAGGGCCAATAACCCGGCATTGTACGTGAACATGGCACGGGACTACCTAAAATTCAGAGCAGAGAAGAGCACTTGAGACTTCCAGTGTGTGGAGTAAGATAAGTAATACACCTTATTCTTCATTCCCAAGAGTTAATAAGTATGGGCTTCTTGGAGTTTGGAAACCTTTGCCAAGGTAATTGTAATTCTTGGAGTTGGGCTTTCATTTGTTTTTCAATAATTGTCAGGACATCCGCTTTAAGCATTAGTAAACATGTTTAGAAGCAGAGCTTGCTAAATGCCTCCTGAATGTTTCCTGAAGATTCCCAAGTGCTCGCTGTATGCTTCCTAAAAGGAAACATCTACAGAGAAAAATATGGAAGCTGCAATTGGTGATCTGTTTGGAGAATTCTTGTCACCTTGTGGCTTTCTCCAGCTTCAATTCTTCAAACTGTGGCCCTGAAACAAGCGCCAGGTCAAGAAAGTCAGAAGGAAGACAGAACTCCTCACCCACATACTAGGTCTCCAGCTTGGGAGCTTCTGAAACCATCAGACTGGCATGTCAAACAAGGAAAACAAATCATTTGAAGGAGAGGTCAACAAGATCTACTGCAGTAGAGGTTTCACTGAAGCCTTCTACATGCCTTCTCAATGAGAACTTCCTCTGAAGCAGGCAGAATGCTTGTAAAAAGTCCTGGCTCTAAGAATTTCAGAAGATGTAGGTGACATCATTGTTGCCTCTTAGGAAATCCTATAGGAATTATGAGAGCCTGGCTTTGTGTGGAGCATGGTGACGTCACTCTCACCTCCCAGAAGAATTGGAAACCAGGGATCAAAGTAAGTAATGTATTTTTTTCAAATGCATTTTTCAAGGGTATTTTAGGCAATTTGTATTTGAAGGGGTGGAAGTCTGTCTCTAAACTGTACCTCCTATTTTCATGGAAGGTCTACTTTAACACTTCCAGACATGAATCAATGGCCCCTTATTACAGGGCATTTAGGGGCAGCACAGTGGCTTAGTGGTTAGCACATCTGCTGTGCAGTACTGGATCAAATCGTAGTCAGAACAGTATCTGCATGTTCTCCCTGTGCTTGCCTGAGTTTCCTCCCACACTCCAAAATTATAATGGTAAGTTAAATGGCTTCTGGCCAAATTGGCCCTAGTAAAAGTATGTATGCATGTGAGATAAGGACATCAGATTGTAAGCTCCTTGGGGGCACAGACTGATATAGATGTACAGTATGTAATGCATATATTGTTAGTGCTATGTAAATACCTGTATTAACTACATGCCACTCAAAGCACAATAAATGCTTGTTGAACATGATGTTCATCAGACTAGCACTTAAGAACTAAGATTTAAGAATATGCACTGGACGTAAGAGTCTGAAAGACAAATTGGGGTGACCTGCTATGTCCCTATATACACACAAGCTATTCTTAATTCAGACTAAAGGCTAGCTGCATGAAAAACTAATTAAAGTGCCATTAAATTATATTCTTATTCTCCAAAAAAAAAATAATCCACACACATCCAGTATGTAATGGCCCTGTAATCTATTTTTTATAAAATTGTGAGTTTTTGTGCCTCTTTGTCACTTCCTCTGTAAGTTCCCAAACCTTTCCTCTTCCTCCTCACTTCTATTTGTTTCCAACGAGCAGTGCACATTAGTAGCAGTCATGTACATAGCTCTATGTACATTGCACATCCCATAGTCTACAGTCCATTTTGGAGGTGGGCAAGGGATGGTGGCTACATTCCTGCATACAATGAGACCATGGCAAAGGAACATAGCCAACCTCTAACAGAAAGTTGGATCATGGCAACAAAACTTTTGGGTAAGGAATACATCCTTAGAATAGAATATAATTTTTTTTTAAAGCAAAGTTTAGTGCCACTTTAAGTTTCGGTTGGGCACCAGGGGTTCGAATCACTTGCCAGCTGGTTATATATCTCAGACACTCCAGTGTTTAAATTTGGCTCTGTTCATGAACATCATTCCTGCGGTCACATGCATAAATACACTGCACATTTTCCATTTATATATACTCCTTTAAATTCTGTATATATATTTTAAACAGTTAATTCTCCTTGTTGGCATAGTTAACCCCTTCACGCCTAAGGGTAAAACAAATCTTAAAGCCTAAGTAAAATTTTACAACTTTGATATGTGTTAGTAAAACCGCACATATCCTCACAACTACTTTGTGCATCCAGATGAATTATACCTTGTTTTTTTCAGGACAAATTGGGCTTTCATATGGTGGTAAATGGTAATAGATATCTCCTGATTTTTTTTTATTATCAAAGGAAAACTGGCCCAAAATAGTAAAAAAAATTTTTTTTTAAATGTAGCTGTGTGTTTCTTGTTACAACCATAACCTACCACCAAAAAACAATCCAAAATAAATTTTCCAGCTCTTGACGATCGCAGCGATACCATATATGTGTATGTTATTTGTTGTTTGTACCTGTACTACAGCCCAGAAACTAAAGTGCACATTTTGTTTTTTTTTACCTAAAACACATTGACACTGACACAAACTGACACTGATACCAAAAAAAAAAAAAAAAAATAAATCCTGACCTTTGACCCTGACTTTTGACCTTGACCCAAAAACTAACCCTGGCACTGAACTAGATCAAACCTTGATCTTGGTATTTTTTCCTTATTTTTTTATTTTTATTTTATTTTTTAATATTTATTTGTCTTTCTTTTCTTTTTTTTTTTACAGTTGTTTTCTTTTTCTCTCTGCAAGGAGAGACACAGATACAATGTATCTCCCTCTTCCATTCAGAGAGAAAAAAAAACAAGGGGGGTGGGCTTCACAGTGACTGATCACTGCGAAAGCCAATCAGAGGCTATCACAGCGATCATGTGATCCAGAATTGGGAGACCTGGGTCCGGATTGTTAGAATGGGATCTGGGGCTCTCAGTGACACCCTGGACTTTGTGCTGGGAGCACGCTGTGCATCGCGCTCCCAGCACAAAGACAAGTACGCAAATATGCGGCCCCACGGAAAAAAGCCCAGTTCTGTGTGTTACATTGGCATCAAGGGGTTTAGGAAAATCACAGCAGAGGGTTCACTGTTGTGGGGAGATGCAGCCCTGACATCTTGTTGATTAAAGTATAACTAAAAGCAAATCTTTTTTTTTTTTTTTTCGTTTTGGACAGAATGGAGATGGATTAGAACACCTGTGGACACAGTCGGTGACAGATCGCGCAGCTGCGTGGCCGCGTGAGCGTCTTGTTTTGACAGGAAGTCATATGACTCCCAGTTACAACCACGAGTGTCCCGCCCGGCCGTCAATCTGCTATAGGCTGGGCTGGATTGTGTTAAGCAAGCCTTTTCAACTTTTTGATCGGCTGACAGGTTTAGTTAACCCCTTGGCGCCGGCGCCTCCTGGCCCTTTAAGGGTTTCAGAAGCCGGGAGGCGGGGCAGGGTTTTAAGGGCATGTGACGGCCATGATTCGCCATCATGGCGGTCACATGATCGGGAAAGGTCCTGATCAAAAGAGGAGATTGGGACCTTTCCGTGAGTACCGGACATGTGTGCTGGGAGCACGAAGGGAGCGCGCTCTTAGCACATATGTTTTTCTTAATTGCAAGCAAATGTGCGGCCGCTTGGCGTCAAGGCCCAGACGCCGGTAGGCCGCACATTTGCGTGCGGCCGGCGTGAAGAGGTTAAAAAAAGACAAACTATGGCCTCCCATTAAAAATATGTGCTGCACCAATCAATTATAAGAGTATATGCACTTATAATTTTCTCTTAGTCACCCTGTAAAGCGCCAAAAATATGTGACAGTCCTGAGTGTAGTCCACCCAGTGCAGCTTCCTGTGATGGGGTGGCAACAATGCTGCACTGCTCCTGAATTCAGAGCAAATTTGTCACGCTCATGTAGGATGTGCCTGCTTGCAAAACAGTCGGCTAAAAAAAAATGTTGCAAGGGGTGGGACTATCAGCATTGTCACTGCTCATTCACAGGCCTGTAGTTTGTCAATCAGCACCCGACCACCTCTTAGTCCTGCCCAATTCCCTTTGGATTGCTGCTAAAATTCACTCACTGTGAGCTGTAAAGTCTACCAGGGAAGTGTGTGAGACACGAATTAAGAAGGATTTGGCTCGATCACAAAAGATGACAAAAGTTTTGGTTTACTTTGGGAGCATCACATAATAGCTGGATTTTGGACTTTTGGATTTTGGAGTATTATTATTATACAGGATTTATATAGCGCAACAGTTTGCTCAGCGCTTTACAATATAAAGGGAGGCAATACAGCAACAATACAGTGCAATACAAGAGGGATAGGAGGGCCTGTTTAGACTTTCACACTGGATCCTTTAGTCGTACTTTAAATGAGGCCATGCTATGCAGCGACAGCCTTCTCTTCACACACTTCCTCTCACCCATGATTGTGTTACACTGTAACATTGCCAATGACCAGGCCAGCAGGTTAGGCGCTCAGCAATTTGATTAACAGGTGTGAGAGCTGTGTAAACAGTTAATAAATAGGCACTAATGAGAAAAACACACACATCTCTGGCCGTAACATTAACACTTAGCAATTGACTTTATAATTTGCCTTCAGAAACCCCTCAAGATTGAAACTCATTCACACATTAATAATCTCAGAATATAGAAATACTAACCATATATGGGCAAACTTGCGATCCCGGTCCAAATATTAACTCACATTGCTTGTTGACATTGTATAGGACGCCAGGCATTTGTTGAGGTAAAGAGTACGCTCTTGAGACAGGTTCATCAAGCAGACATTCCCCATAACCTGTGCTGAAAGGGAAGCGACACAGAGTCAGCACTGCAAAACCTCATTCCATAGACTTGATAACATCTCCAGACTAATGGGGCCTCATTTACTAAAGTATAAAGTGAAGTGCACCTGGGAGCCCTTCAAATTTTGGATAAGAAGTTAATTATCCACATCAGCTCTGGAAGATTTTACCCCCTTCATGATTAAGCCTTTTTTTTGCATTACTTCAACTGGCAATTGCGCAGTTGTGCAAAACTGTACCCAAATGAAATTTGTATAATTTTTTTCCCACAAATAGAGTTCTCTTTTGGTGATATTCGATCATCACTGGGTTTTTAATTTTTTTATGATAGTATATAAATGAAAAAAGACCAAACATTTTGAAAAAAAAATCCTATATTTTTTGCTTTCTACTATAAAACATATTCAATAAAAATCAAAAAATATTAATTTCTTCATAAATTTAGGCCAAAATGTATTCTACATGTCTTTGGTAAAAAAATCCCAATAAGTGTATATTAATTGGTGTGTGAAAGTTATAGCGACTAAAAATTATGATATATATATTGAATTTTTTGTTATATATATTAGTAATGGTGGTGGTCAGCGGTTTATACTGGGACTGTGATAGTGCAGCGGGCAATCTAACACTAACTGACAATTTGTGGGAACTAACTGCCACTAACATCTCCAGTGACACTAATACACTGATCAGTGCTAATAAAATACACTGTCACTGTACTAATGACACTGACTGGGAAGGGGTTGACATCTATGGACAATCCAGGGGTTAATTGAGTGCCTAACAATGTGTAATGTGTGCTGCCTTTTACTACAGATTGATTTGTTTCTTTTCCCTGCTTTGAAGGGAAAAGAAACAAAGTGGTTGTTCCCTTTGTACGGAGTCCTGTCTTGTTTGTCAACACAGGGCTCTCGGCTGTGATTGGACACAGCCAATCAGCAGGTCCTAGCCATGAATCATTGGCCGGTATCTGTTGACAAACTTCAGGAGAGTGACAAATTACAGGGGAGTAGGCAGTATGTACACGCACCTTGCTGTGCCTTTAAGAGCCGCCCTGCCGCAGTATATATACTGTGGTGGGTCGGCAAGCGGTTATGCTAAGACTTTAGGGCTGTAAGATTTCGGTGCAAGAGTGGTAGCACTGAGATACTTTGTTCATACATGCGATCATAATTCAGTCGATCAGATTATGAGTTTACATGGTGGAAACATGATTCGATCAATAACTTATGATCGTATCTTAACTATTGATTAAATTTCACCTTCTCGAGTGTGGCATATCAATTGAATGGGTTGTTGACGATAGATAGGACTATATTGGAAGAGATCGAAAAAGAATCGAAAACAGTGATCATTTATCAAAGCAGGTAAATGCACAAAGCAAGATGGCTACATTTAGAAATGTTTACAAAAAAGAACCATTGAATAGTCCAGGGGGAGCCAGGAAACAGTTTTCTCTTAACTTTAAAAATGTAAAGAAGGTCTATTTCACTTGGATCAGAAATAATGCACATTTCACTTATGCAAAACACTAATTGCTAAGGGAAGAAAACAAATAAAATTTTATATATATATATATATATATATATATATATATATATATATATATACTGCTCAAAAAAAATAAAGAAACAATTTTTAACCAGAGTATATCATCAAGTCAATTAAACTCCTGGGATATTCATCTGGTCAGTTAAGTAGCAGAGGGGGTTGTTTATCAGGTTCAGCTGCTTTGGTGTTAATGAAATTAACAGCAGGTGCACTAGATGGGCAAGCATGAGTTGACCCCCAAAACAGGAATAGTTTTACAGATGGAGGCCACTGACATTTTTTTCCCTACTTATCTTTTTTGACTGTCTTTCACTAGTTTTGCATGTGGCTAGGGTCAGTGTCACTATTGGTAGCATGAGGCGATACCTGGACCCTACAGAGGTTGCACAGGCAACTCCAACTCCACCAGGATGGCATATCAATACGTGCCATTGCCGGCAGGTTTGCTGTGTCTCTCACCACAGTCTCAAGAGCATGGAGGAGATTCCAGGAGACAGGCAGTTACTCTAGGAGAGCTGGACAGGGTCGTAGAAGGTCCTTAACCCAAATGTCAGGGCTCCGGGTATGACCAGAGGTGTGTGGACTGACACAGGGAAACGCAGGCTTCAGGTATAGTGTGTAAATAAGATTATTTATTAAGGACAACATAAACATAAATGCAGTGCAACAACCAAACGCAAAGCTAACACAAATATATACAATAAGGTGAAACGAACCCCAACCTAAACTGATATATAGGAAGCACAACGTAGTCAGGCAGGCCGGGTCAATAACTGTCGGGTCAGTATGGTACTAGGCAGCAGGCAGAAGAGTAGTCAGGTCACTCGCCGGGGTCAGGAACAGGATTTCAGATCAAGTAGGGATGTCCAGGAGAGTAGTCAAACAAGCCAGGGATCAAGCAGGAGAAGTCAGCAGAGGTCAGGATCAGGCAGGGTCGGCAACAAGTCAGACAGGAACAGGAACAGAAACAGGAACACAGGATACAAGGTACAGGGGCCCATGGAAAGCACACACCAAGGCCTTGACTGTGAGTCTGGCCATTCCTTAAATACAAGACCTGCAATCAGCTTCAGGTGTTTGGCTGATTGCAGGGGTGAGTCTCTGATTGCTAAGAGCACCCGCTGGCCAGCCCTGGTACTGCAGCCCACAAGGCAGGTGAGTCCCACCATTATTGGCAAGTCCATTCCTGACACCAACAGCAGGACTGGTATCTGCTCCTTTGTGCAAGGAGGAACAGGATGAGCACTGCCAGAGCCCTACAAAAGTACCTCCAGCAGGCCACTGGTGTGATGGTCTCTGACCAAACAATCAGAAACATACTTCATGAGGGTGCCCTGAGGGCCCGATGTCCTCTAGTGGGACCTTTGCTCACTGCCCGGCACCATAGAGCTCGATTGGCATTTGCCATTAAGCACCAGAATTGGTAGGTCTGCCACTGGTGCCCTGTGCTTTTCACAGATGATGAAAACAGGTTCACCCTCAGCACGTGTGACAGACGTGAAAGGGTCTGGAGAAGCCGTGGAGAACATTATGCTGCCCGTAACATCGTTCAACATGACCATTTTGGTGGTGGGTCAGTGATGGTCTGGGGAGGCATATCCATGGAGGGATGCGCAGACCTCTACAGGCTAGACAATGGCAATCTGACTGCCATTAGGTATCAAGATGAAATCCTTGGACCCATTGTCAGACCCTACGCTGGTGTAGTGGGTCCTGGGTTCCTCCTGGTGCACGACAATGCCCGGCCTCCTGTGGCAAGAGTATGTAGGCAATTCCTGGAGGATGAAGGAATTGATACCAGTGAATGTCCTCCACACTCGCCTGACCTAAATCCACTAGAACACCTCTGGGATATCATGTTCTGGTCCATCTGATGCCGCTAGGTTGCACCTCAAACTGTCCAGGGGCTCAGTGATGCCCTGGTCCAGATCTGGAAAGAAACACCCCAGGACACCATCTGTTATCTTATTAAAAGAATGTCCCGACGTTGTCAGGCATGCATACAAGCTATGGGGCCATACAAACTTCTGAGTACCATTTTGAGTTGCTGCAATGAAATTTCAGCAGAATGGACTAGCCTGCTGCATCATTTATTCACTTTGATTTTCGGGGTTCTTAACACATTACCCAGTCCATATCAGTATAGATATCCAGCATGATATTTTTCCCCATTGAGATCTGATGTGTTTTCAAAGGGTTCCTTTAATTGTTTTGAGCAGTGTATACAGGTCTCATGGTATTTTATTGATTTCACTGTACTACAACACAAGCATATTTAAGTACCCTGCACGCTGTGCTATTGTCACATGAAGAATGGCAGCGGTGAATCATCTGTGGTACTTGGCTGAGACATGGTTTCCTGGGCCTATCCAGGTATCCCTTCACACTATCATACCAGAACACAATGTCCAATTAGAAAAACGTAGGCCAGCATGAGACCACTGGTTGCCCTGGTTACCCCGTGTCTACGGACATGGAATGCTCAGTAAGAGTTGCCAAAAGAAGGAGATTACTTCGTTTTATTACAGAATTCAGCGTGTGTAATAATTTATTAGACTTAAAGAAACGTCTTCATGCAAAAGGGACTTTGTGGGAGTCTTGATTAGAATAACAGACACCCACACCACTCAACAGACACTCAGGCCTGTAACCCAGGGAGTGTAAATATCTATATACAAGGACAATTCGGAACATTTAGAAACAGTAAACATTAGAAGGGCTTAACAGAAAGGAAGATTATGAAGTTTAAAGCGACCCTGTTAGATTTTTAAAAAAATGCTCTCTGCCTGGGCATGTTCCTTGAACCCTTGGAAGTGTCTTTCCTTTACATAAACATTTCCAGATGCTGAACTTACTCCAGAAATTGCGTTATATACTTTCGGCTGCACTTTGACCACATCCAGGGGTTGGTGTAAAAATTGAGGGTTGGAGCCATAACATTTTGCTGATTTTTGCCACCCTCCTCCTTACATTTATTACTATCATCGTGTGGCATGTTAAATCTAAAAGATAAACAGAGAAAAAAAAGTTAAAAAATAGTATGTATCACCAACACAATGGTAAAGCAGATGCTTTACAGATTGAAATGCTTAGAGTTAGTCATTTCCCCTCACCTACCTGATGCGCATTCTTAAAGTGACCCTGTTGCCCCTAAAGTTACTGCAGGGGGGTGAGGGGAGCGGCAGAGGAGCTGGGTCAGCATAGACAGTAATTAGACAATACCAGAAGAGGAGAGGTCTATTAACCACTTCCAGTCTGGACACTTTTACCCCTTTCCTGACCAGGGCAATTTTCAGCTTTCAGCGCTATCACACTTTGAATGACAATTGCGCGGTCATGAAACACTGTACCCATACAATTTTTTTACCATTTTTTTGAGACAGATAAAACTTTATTTTGGTGGTATTTATTCACCGCTGGGATTTTTATTTTTTTTTGCTATGTAATTGAAAATATCCAAAAATTTTGAAAAAAAGTGTTTTTCTTATAAAATTTAAATCATATTTCATCATAAATCTTGGCCAAAATTTATTCCGTTATCTTTTCAGTAAAAAAAAAAAGCCAAATTAGTTTCTAACCAAAAATTATAACTTTTAAACTTTTTTTTACATTTTTATATTATTATTATTTTTTTTTACATACTGTCACCCTAGCAGTACAGTGTCACCATGGTGACACTGTACTACTTTTTGGGGGTGATGAAGATTTTTTTTTTTTTTTTTTTTTTTTTTACACTGATTGCTTTTACACCCATATAGGATGTAAAAGCAATCATTTCTCTTTCTCTCTGTCTGCATTCTTGCAACCATTGAGAACTACTGCGTGAGCTGTGATTGGTCACAGCTTGTCACATGGTACAAGGCTGTTGTGAATAGCCTTGTACCATGTGACCTCTGTGATCATTCACAGATTTCACACGTAGTAAGCAAGTGACATCTTGCTTACTACTTTGCATGTGATCACTGGCTAATCAGTGTGATCACATGATCGGGACCTCGTAGAGAGGTCCCGTCCGACGATCGGTGTTTCACTGTGTCCAGAGGACACAGCGGGCACCGGATCGCGGTGCTGCACGCTCCCAGGGAGCGCGCACAAGCAGGGTGTGGGGAGGCCGTTTATATACAACGGCCGGTCGGGGGAAGTGGTTAAATAGGTCTTTAATTGGTGGGAAATTAATACTTCTTACAATGTCCAGCAGTAGCTTCAACCTTCTGCGACACTCTTCAGCAAGAGATTTCCTAACAGATGCTCCTTCAAGGTAGACATCCTTTAGCCAAGTCCCCTCCAGATATACACTCCAGTAGGCAGCTAAAGTCCCCGGGGCCTCTGACACATGTCCTAGACTGAGGCAAGGTCCAACTAAACATCCTTCTCTGCAGACATCCACTTCAGGTAGAAGCCCAGGAGGGACAGAACTCTCTGGAAAGGTGCTTGAAATATGTATCACCTTCCCAAACCATACCTCTGAACAAGAGCTTTGGGAGGGGTCTGATTGGGTCATAAATATTCATAACTCAGTAATTGCCCTTCCTACAATGATTACTGAAACCTCCTCAACAGTAACAGGCATAATCAGTCAACACAATGAGCTTTGGAAAACCAGCAGAGCCTAGAAAAATGTAAACAGAGCTCAGGCTGATTACAGCCTAGCTGCAAAGCTCTCTCATCTTAATTAGGGACTTTCTTAGGACACAGTCCCTAGAGGTAGACTACAAGGTATGTTAAAAGAGTGATATTAAGCCCTGATTTCTAAATGCCACACGAGTGATTATACTAAACCTTGTAGATTGAAGTATAGCTAGTTTGGTCAACAAGGGAACAAAACCATAGGAGAAAGTAAGCGGTGTCCTAGTGATCCTTCTCGATGGCAAGTTGTCAAGGCTGCACTGGCCGGCCATTATCTAGGTCAACAAGCTATGAAGGGCAGCAACAAACCTCAAAATGCCTAGAGGAGTCATAAGGCTCTCTACAATTCAGGGAACCTGAAACCAATTTTTTCTTTCTTTTGTTTGGTAGTCTGAGCATTTGAAAGTAGCTTTTCATATACCGGTAAACACAACTGGAAGTGATGGGAAATCTTTCAACAGGGACACCTGCTGCTGCAGCCCAAGTCAGGATTTGTCTTGACTTTGGAGAGATTTCCTCTCATTTCCTGTTGTGTCTGCAGTACAGCAAGTGAAGAAAAATGTCTTCAATAGCACATAGACAGCAAAAAAAAAGAATGAAAAAAAAATTCAAAAACAAAAGGTTTATACTGGAAACGGTTTCTAGAGGGGACTATAACATTGGTAAAGGATAAGATTTTTTTTGAAGACAAGTATATTTACATCAAACATACACGTGTCCAAGCTCATGTGCTATTGTAAATGCTGTGCTCAGTCCGTTGTCTTCACTTATGGAACAGCTCCTGTATGGGTCACATACTGTACCCAGCTCTGCTAGGCCTGAAAGGGACAAAGGCAGGTAAGTACAAAGAATATGCTCAAGCTACTCATTTACGGCAATGTTGACATCACGAGAGATAAAGAGACACTCTAGTGAAAAAAAGCAAGCATTCAAATACCTATTGTATATAGCCATTTTGGTGCTTGGCTTTCAGTAATGTGAATATATTTTATATATATATATATATGCGTGTATGTATATATATATATATATATATATATATATATATATATATATATATATAAAATATATATAGTATAGATGTTCCCTATACCACAGTATAACTTGTGTTCAGGCCCGGTGCCCAGACTATAGATATTAAAGCTAAACTGAGGACAAAAGAATCTTTAGTTTGCAGTGGGTCCTCCTCCCCACTACGAGGGTTAACCGCTTCTTTCACCTATAGGATGATGAATAAAGTGATATTCTTATTTCCTCGCTTACCCAGCAGCCAACGCTATCTTCTGCTGTCTGATGTCCTGGGTTGTCTGTTTATTCCCATATAATCCAGGACTTCTTCTCTATCTATTTCCATACAGTGCAGGGCTTGTTCCCTTCGCTGCCTGACTGGTCGCGGTTCTCTTGTGTCATCCTGTACAATGCAGGACCAGACAGCAGTGACCAATCAGGCAGTGAAGGGAAAAGACTTCAAGGGATCGGTCGCAGGAAGGGGAAGAAACTTGCAGGAGAAATAAGGTAAGCATATCACCTTATTCATCATCTCCTAGGCCAAATGAGCATTGAACCCTTGTAGTGGGAAGGGGAATACTGCAAGGGTAAAGATTTTCAGTCTTCAAAGTTCAGCTTTAAACTATTTACGTATTATCAGTAAAATACCTTTAAAACATGCTATCCCTGACCTCTCAAAATGCTTTTAATGTGGCTTAATTTGTTTTAAAGATCCTCAACAAATCTCCAGAGTCAGGTTTTAGCAAGTTGTGGTACATTAAGGCAGCCAATTTAAGATGAATTGGTTTCCAATGCACCAAAATGGTGCATGCACCATTTTTTTGGCAGCGCATCACAACACATGTTGGTGCATTGCTGTAGGCTGTAATGCAAGTCTGTCATCAAGGTGCATTGAGGTGCCATTCAAAATGAATGACACCGCATCTCTCTAACGCATCTAATGTGTGCCACCGTAACGCAACGGTAGAAAATCCGCCAGTTCTCTACATTAGAAGGTTGACAGATGCAACTCAAAAAATTAGGAAAAGAGGTAAGATTTCAGTGCTTGTGTTGTAAACTTTGAAATTTTCTCTACAATACAGATACATGGATGAATGAGAACTTGTGCTTTACTGCTTGTTCAGTATTTGTATATACTTTAGTGTGCATGCACTGGGCATCAGTTCACTTTAAGGTAAAAAAGGTGGAATTTGACTGGCACAATCAACACCACTATGGATTTTTCCTTCTCTTGCCTCACATACATCAATAACATATTGGATATAAATATTTAATTAAAATCGTATTAAACATCAATATCATATCAAACATTCTACACGAAATTCACCGACATCAACTATATTCCAGATAAATCTTCTAGTGCAAGTCAGTGTGGACAATGTACAGGGGCAACACCAGATGTCAACCTGGAAGATCAATTTATAGGGTGGCATGGAATTGGCATGTGCTGCGGCAAGAACTAGGTGTGGCTAAGCAGTGCAAGAGGTGCTGTGTAATGTGTATATACAAAAAATAAAAAACAGAGCATTGTCTAGGGCAGCCTTTCTCAGCCCTTTTACCCCAGAGGAACCCTTGTAATAATTTTCAGGTCTTGGGGAACCCCAAGTAAAATAAATCAATCAAAACCAGTGAGGAAAATGCCCCTACATTGATGGGCTCTTTACATTGGTGGCCAATAGGAAGCATGTCCTCCTTACAGTGGTGATCAGAATGCCACCCTCACAGACCATTAAATAGATCTTTGGTATTATGCCACCGTATCTGCCATGTGGTGTTGATCCTGGAATTATGCAGGCACCATAAAATGAGAAGTCAATCGACCACAACTCAAGGAATCCCTAGCAACCTCTGGAGGAACCCTGGTTGAGAATGGCTGGTCTGGGGTGTATAATGAAAGGAGTGGTACTATGAAATACTCACTTCCAGGGCAATGTAGAAACAAGTCACCCTGTTATGTTTTGGTCTACAGAGGAAAATTAATTTCTATATTCTATTCTTAAAGTGACACTAAATGATTTCCTTACTCTCCAAATTCTTATTCTTCATGGTCTATAGTGGGGGGAATAAGAAGTGAGTACGAGAGGGTGACTACGTTCCTACATACAGTGGGACCATGGAGAATGGACTTAGCCACCAACAGGAAGACACTTCATAGCAGCAAAAAAAAAGGAATTTTGAGATTCGGAAGAGGCTGAGAGTAATAGAAGGTACTTTTTGAGTTAAGAATACACACATCAAAAGATTTTATTTCCAAGCAGAGTTCAGTGTCACTTTAATTTGTAGACTTCAAGTTTCTGACCAACCATGCTTACAAATATAAGTGAAATAAAATAAAGACGTCTTACCTAATGTATCACATTTCTCATGGGCTCTGCAAATATCCTGTCTGAATGCAAAGTATGTGTTTTATTTAAAAAGTACGAAAGGACATAAAAAAAGGACAAACACTAAAAACACAATTACACAAATTAAAAGAATAATCATGAACCTTTTATTTAGGGCTGTTGCTCACATATATACTCATACAGCCTTTGCAGACCACATAGTTGTTTTGGGGACTAGCAACACAGAAGGCCCAAGACAGCCTGCCTCATAATGATATATCCAAAAAATCATAGTGCTGGGCGTTTAGCTCAGAACAAAATGAATAAGTGTACACTTCAAGTACCTTTTGAACACATCAAGAAATCATTTTGTACCATGCTGAGTTACCAGTTGGAAGGATAAAGGTGTCAGAAGTGAAGCTGCTGGTAAGTTGGAGGTTAGAAAGTCAAGCAGCACTATAATGATTCTACTGTAAAAAATGCATTTGAGGCTTTTCAGAGGGCAGCAGAGTGAGAAGATAGGATTATACGGAACCCTGCAAGGGGCATGGCATGCCTGTTTGTCCATTGAGAGATGGCTTTGAATTATAGATGTCAATCAGAGAGCATCTTCTATGGTGATAACAGTACCCACAGCATGCTGGGGTAAAATGCAAGCATGATCAAATTAGAATGGTTTACATGAATTTGGAATAAAGTGACTCTGCCAAAAATATAAATGCCAGAATAAAAGGTTCACCAGGAAAGTAGAAACTAAATACCCAACTTTCCTGCTGCTCGCTCCACTGAATGATGCTCTAATGAAGAGAACCTAAAAATCTCTTTCTAATCTAACACATCTTGAAGTGTCTATCTCCCATGTCTTCCACTGCACTCAATGGTTCCTCATGCCAACCTTTATGTCACTATTTAGTAATGTACGGGTCGGTGGAAGAAGCCACTAAGTGCAGCAAGGGACATAGGTATTGCCACTCATGAAAGTTTCTGCAGAGACTTCGGTGATGGGGGTAATCTCTCTTCACTGAAGTGGTGTTTGGTGGCTCAAGCAACTAACTTTAATTCTGACATTGATTTTTGAAACAAAGTCACTTTAATCATAATGGCTGCGCAGCCCAAGGCCGCACACGGGATCTGGTGAAGGTGGGTAGTGAAAAGGATCACTAAAATTATACATTATCCTTAGGAATGGGGTGAATAGGAGTGGGACACAAAATGTCAGGGATCCCCTCGATCCCCGCCGCGATGGTCCCGGCGCAGGCGCAGTGCGCCGCCCTGTGCAGGGACACGGGCACTAGGTCCGGGCCGGCCGCGGCGTTCGAGTTCGCACATGCGCAGTAGAAGCCGCGGCCGCCCGCTGGGCACCAATGGCAGCGCAGGGCGGGATATTTAAATGGCCCTGAGCTGTCATTCAGTGCCTTCTGGTCTTTCCTGCATCCTGTGAATCTGTGAACCTGTGCCCTGTAAGTTATTGACCCGGATTGTACCTGACCTTGCTAATTTCTCCTGTCCTGACCCTTGCTTTGCCTGACCTCTCTCCTGGATGCCCCCTATTGGATTTGACCTGCTGTTGCTGACCTGGCGTGTGACCCGACCATTCTCTGCCCGCTGCCTTGTACCTTACCGTCCTCTCTGTTACCGACCCGGCCCGTCTGACCTTGCTCATCCATCCATCCATCCGTCCATCCCTCGCAGTGGGGTCTTCTGACCTCCTCATATCAGACTCTTTCCCGTGGGAGCCCTTGGCGCATACCACTACCACTGACGGATGTACCCAGTAGCCACGAACTGGTCTCGGGGGGCTCCAAGTCCATCCCCACCATCAGGGGCCCTGGTGAACAAGCACCCTGGGACTTAGATTCCGTGCGCTGGGGACGCCTATTCAGTGGAGTGCTAGTGGTACCGCCGGGCGGTCCCTTACACAAAAATGGGTGGTCCCTTGAACATTCGGATGTCTGGATGTATTCTGAAGGAGGAAAGTGTGCTATTCTGTATTTGGCTTCTTTAACCATCTCAAAAGCCTCTCCATCGTTATGGGAAGGTGCAACCCTCACAGGGTTGAGGAAAACCTTACCTTCTTAACTGCACTCACTATTGGTGGGGTATTGTAGGCTCTGCCGGCCGAGCACACAACAATTTTCAGGAAATTTCAAGCACTAGTTGTTTTTTCCACTACGTCCAAATAGGTCAATGCAACCTGCAACCAACAATTTCTATTAACACCATTATAACTGTGGATGGTAGGATGCCTTGAGCTATAGTGAAATCACCCAAAAATTGTCATGGGCATGGCCAATAAAGCTCTTTTGAGAGTCAACCATATTCTGGCATGAACCAATAATTCTAGAGTATCATAATGTTAAGTCATAGTATACCAATAGCTTCTAAATAACTGACTGGTTGAACAACAGCTTAACACCATATAGCCACTTGAACCTAGAAATGATGAAGCTGGGGCATAGATGGATCGAAGTCCCTGCTGAACCAGTTGAGATTCGATCCATTTATAGGCAGGCAGGCATCTTGGGTACAACCAGCCTTTCGGATTGTTTATATGCAATTACTGCCGGAGGCTATAGCCAGGCTATAGGAAGACTCCTGGCCTGCAGAACACAATAGCTCTGTGGGAGGGATTCCCCCATCAACACTGACTGTTTTGATGGGGGAATCAAGGGATTTTTTTTTCCTGCAATCTGTGGTTGCAGGAAAGGAAATCAAATCAAATCACTTGAGTAACAGGTACGTCTGACCTATTGACTCCCAATCTATGAAATTACTTGGATGTGGTTTAGATAAAAAAAAAATACTCAGTGGTGTAGATTAAAGTGGCCTTGTGAAAAAGTGGTATCTCTTCTTCATGGGACCTGCTATATAGCCTAAAATTGAAGCTCGTAGGCTGCCCATAAGTTCCAGTTCAGCATCACTGATCCAGAATTCATATGCAACCTCACAGAGGGAGTAGAGCTTCAATGTAGTGATTCTTAACAGGTATTTTACTTCAGGACTGATTCATGTTAACAGTATCAGAAGTTTACATGTGATGTACGACTCAATATCAATTTATGCAATCGCTGCCTTCAAAAATGTGTTTTTTTTTTCTGTCTTCTTCTGTTATTTCCATTTGTTGTGGGTAATGGCTGATGATTACAGACTTTATTTCCACATACCAGATTTTTCCATGCATTAAATCTTAATTCAGAAAGCAGTATTTTATTTATGCACATCTCAGATCTTTGCCGAGGAGCACTACCTCAGCTGTGGAATTAACAAGTTGACGTAAGTTTCAGTAAATGAAAAATGTGCCCCTGACAGTGTGTTAAACTAATCGCTCACTTCATTTATATCAGATTTTGCTTCTCCACCTTTGAAAAATCTGAAAAACAGAGCCATGGCAGCACAAAAAAACTGTACCTTCTCTGTTTTCTACAAACTTAAATTTTACTGCTGTCCTCCCCAGGGGTAGATGATGTGAATAGCAGTGTGGGCTTGTAGTACCAGAACACCTGGATATGTCATCACTGCCAGCCTGCTGATGAGTTTGAACTTATAAGAAATACGCTAGCTCTCCTGGCACATATATTGTCAGCGGATCTCCCCAGATCAGGTGGCGCACACAGGATACATTGAACTCTAAAGAGCAAGTGCCTGCAAGAGAGGGGAACTTTCAGATCTCCATGCGGCCAACAGTGTTGAGGCTACAAGTGCACACACTATGGCATAACCATGAGTGTTGACATCAAACATCTTCATGTATTACACTGTCTAAAAATCTTCCATTTTGCTTGAGGTGATTGTAGCCGTATTAGTGCATTTGCAAAAGAAACAATTGAGTACTGTCCGTGATACTTTTTTATTTGCCCTCCAGCCAATCTAATCTTTTCCTACAGTGCAATGGAAGAATAAGACTAAGAAACAATTTATTCTTTAGATAGTAACAACTGAGTACTGTACGTGATACTTTTCTTATTTGCACTAACATACAATTTTGAGGACAAGCTTTCAGGGAATGTCCCCTTCTTCAAGGTCCAAGCAGTACTAATCCCATTGTTAGTATTGGATTAGTACTAGTGGATTAGTACTGCTTGGACCTTGAAGAAGAGGACATTCCCCAAAAGCTTGTCCTCAAAATTGTATATTAGTGCAAATAAAAAAAGTATCACGGACAGTACACAATTGTTACTGTCTAAAGAACAAATTGTTCCTTAGTTTTATTCTTCCATTGCACTATAGGAAAAGATTAGATTGGCTGGAGGGCTCCCACACTTGCACAAACAACTGTGGCACTAACCATTCTGAAGGTATGTATTGGCATTTGGACAGGGAAGACCTTTTTCTTGGTCCCAAAAAAATGCACAGTTTGCTTGATGCATAAGAATAAAGTGGTTGTAAAGGGAGAAGGTTTTTTTTTTAACACCTTAATGCATTGTATGGACTCGTGAAAAATGTTCCCACCTTGTGATGAGTACCGCTGTGTCGTGATGTGAGTGATGGCTGTCATCGGGGTGGTTCTGGGATTGTTGCCATATGCAGAAGTTTTTTAGTGTAGTTTGAGCATTATAAGAAATGGATGGACCCTCCTAGTAGGGATAAAGACAATGCAAAGTCTAGTAAAAGTTTGGCTATAGTTTTCATACCAAAAACCACACAAAAAAAACATCGTACCTGTTCATCATGGACGACAGCTATCTTTACTATGGCGATATTGATTAAATTACCAATGCTTGGGTCTTTATAGATAGAGGCTACCTGCAGGAGAGAGAATTAATTAGGATGGTCTTCAAAATCTCATTCAAAATTAATCGAGCGTTACCATTAGACAGTTTATTCACACACCACAAGGAATTCATTGTGTGAATTGTCTGAGGACCTAACAGATTGTAATTGAAAGGTTCTAAACATTAAAGTATAGGTAAACCCTAATTCAAATTTTTTAGTATCGTTGGCATGATGTCTTGCTGTATACAATATACCTGAAGTAGAAAACAAGGCTAAACCTTTTTTAGCATTTTGGATAGAGTAAAGGTTATAACCCATGTCAGGTTTTTTTTGCCTTTTGTGTCCTAGTACTGAACGACATTTCAGACTGGATGTCGCTCCACTTCCTCAAATTATACCTTTCCAAAACTGAGCTCCTAATCTTCCCCCCAGCCCGTGCCCCCCCTCCCCCCCCCACACTCTCCATCACGACCAACAACGCCACCATCGGTCCCACCCCGCAAGCCAAAGTCCTAGGTGTCACTCTAGACTCAAATCTGTCCTTCCAACCCCATGTCCAATCGCTGGCAAACTCATGCAGGCTCCACCTCCGCAACATCTCCAAAATACGTACGTTCCTAACCCCAGACACTACCAAACAACTCATTCACTCCCTTATCTCACGTCTGGACTACTGCAACTCCCTCCTCACTGGCCTACCTCTTCACAGACTATTCCTGCTTCAGTCTATCCTGAACTCTGAGGCCAGACTCATTCACCTTACCAACCGCTCCGCTTCTGCCACCCCCCTCTGTCATTCCCTCCACTGGCTCCCGATTGCCTAACGCATTAAATTCAAACTACTAACTTTGACGTACAAAGTCATTCATAACACTGCCCCAAACTACCTCACCGACCTGATACCCAAATACCACCCAACCCGTACTCTTCTCTCCTCAAAAGACCTCCTACTTTTTAGCTCCCTGGTCTCCTCCTCCCATGCCCGACTGCAGGACTTCTCCAGGACTTCCCCCATCCTCTGGAACTCACTACCCCAATCCATAAGACTGTCACCTACCCTCTTCACCTTTAGGCGCACCCTGAAAACCCTTCTCTTCAGGGAAGCCTACCCCACCCTCACCTAACAGCCGATCTCCTCCACTCCTCCTACCACTCCATCCCCCACAGCCACCTCCTCCTGTACCACTATCCCCTCCCTCCTAGATTGTAAGCTCAAAAGAATAGGGCCCTCGCACCCCTCATGTATTGTTTTGTTACTGTATTGTCTCATGCACTGTCCCCCACTATTTTGTACAGCGCTGAGCAAACTTTTTGGCGCTATATAAATACTGTATAATAATTATATTAAGGAGATTACCCGCCACAGTCTGCAGCATTAGGCTTCTTAGGCAGTCACCTTTGGGTGTCAGGATGGAGGGGGAAGGGTGGTTAAATTTTGCAGGCTGACAACACTAAGCCACTTCCTTGCCATGGTAAGATTGTTCTAAGATTACCCTTTGTGTGCATTCAGTTGGCCATTGGGCAGATAATCAGTTTTAGTAAATAGGCAGCTCAATATCCAACTGCAGGAATGAGAACAGCAGGCTGACAACATTACTGCTAATTGTGAGATTGTGGCTTGGTGTTGTCAGTGTGCAGCAGGAAGTGCTGTTTCTGGCAGGATCTCAAGAAAAGAAACTTTGCAATAGATTAAAAAAATTAATTATTTTCTTAAGGAAACTGTATACAGAAAGACAAGATTTCAAACCTACTAAAAAACAGATTTTGAATTTAAATACACTTCAATACTAGGTTCACATATGTGCAGCCATGCGTGCCGCATTTTGCGTGGGCACGAGAGCCCATTCATTTGAATGGACTCCTGTGCCCCGGGACACGCAGGAAAGAAGTCCCTGCACTTCTTCAGGAAATACAGCCTGCACAGGTTCCCAGTACGATTGTGATTTCCAGTGCAGGCGGCGTGCCATTAGAATTAATGGCACCCACCCACGGGTCCCACATTTCCTCTGTCCAGATGGTGCGGCTGTCGGTACTTTTGCGCGGGTCCCGCAGCGGCACCACCCGCACATATGTGAACCAAGCCTAAAGTCTACCTCCAGACAGTTTTCTTGTTTTAGATAGAGTGGGGAAGAGTTTTTATTGCTGTCAGTCACCCCGTGGAGGAGATTTTCACTTGCTTCATCTCCCTGTGACACCAGGACAAGGAGACAAGTGGACACTGACAGCAATAACAACATTATCAGAATTTTAACTCTTCCTTAGGGCTCATTTACAGTTGTGATTAGGGGGCGATAAAAACATGTGCTTGAGTCGCGTTTTTTTACCGCTTTCCCCAATAGCCCCTCTTAGGAAGTGGACGGAGGTGTACACATGCTGTGGTTGTGCATTAAGAATTAAACCTCCTTTCACGCATTGAAAACAACCCAATCAAGTGAATGGGGATATGCCACAACCATGCAATGCATGCGGTTGTGGTGTGGTAGTGAAGACTTTTAAGGGTTAACACACGCTATAAGGAGGCAACGTTAACTCCTACTTGCTGCCTGTCAAATGCCATCTGAAGAGCAATCCACTGCATATCGCTCTTCACAGGGCCAATGCTAGTGTAAACAAGCCTATCAAAATTTTTTTTTTTTTTCACATCTGCATTCTAATTAGAGAGATTTTCCATCAAATCCTCTCCTTGTAGGCAGTGAGTGGAAATATGAGACAGGTGACAGTAAAAAAAACTGACAGAGGCTCTAACCTATCCCCACTCTGTCCAAAATTAATTCAAACATTTTAGCTAGAGATGGGCTTTAAGTGGGTTCAGATACAGATGTATATGAAAGAAGTCATTGCTTCCTGCTGAACTGGTGCAGCTTATCATCATGAATATTAGTTCTGCCATCAAAATGACTGATTCCATTGTATACAGGTGGCAGGTACACATGGGCAGTAATTTGGAAATTCATTAAATGACATATGTAAGAAAAGCGTGCTAGCAAGAAACCTATTGCCCTATAGCAATCAATCATCTTCAAAAAGTCATTGTAGCAAGTAAATGACTGCAGCTGAAAGTGATTTCAATTCATTTCAACTCATTCAGTCGACCCATACCAAATAAATGACCGCATTTGAAAGTATAACTAGGAGTCTAATTGGTTGCTGCGGGGAGCAAAAAAACATTTTTTTTAGTGCACTTTCCATCCATACTGTAAGTCCCAAAGTTCTTAAAGGGATAGTTCACCTTTACTAAGGGTGCCTGTAGATAAAAACAAACTGTGCAGCTTTGACCAAAGGTAAAGAATATATTACCCAACGTTTCCTATTCCTGTGGGGCCACATCCTAATAACCTGTTCTCTTTGTATTGCTTCCATTGTGTGAAATACCTGGTAATCCTTCTACTCCCCCTGCTTTTCTATATCAAGCTGACCATGCTAGACGTGGGAGCACATCCATCCCAGCGTGGTCAGTGTTCTGGCTGTGCTGGGAGCACAGCCTGCCTGGCCTCCAATGATCAGACTTTTGCTGACACCCCCCCCCCCCTCCTCCTGCAAGCTCTTCACTGGGAAGATCAGTGTTTTGCTGCTTCTCCACCGCATCTCTTCAAACCCCATATACAGCTGAGAACAGAAATTACTTATAAAAAAAGAAAAAAAAAGTATTGATTTTTTTTATATACACTTCCTTTTTGCCTTTCATTTCTATTTTAAACTGAATGGGCTCATGCTTTAAAGTAACACTAAACCTTCAGTTTTTTTTAACCACTTGCCTACAGGGCACTTATACCCCCTTCCTGCCCAGGCCAATTTTCAGCTTTCAGCACTGTCACACTTTGAATGACAATTGTGCGGTCATGCAACACTGTACCCATATGAAATTTTTATAATTTTTTTTTCACACAAATAGAGCGTTCTTTTGATGGTATTTCATCATCACTGAGTTTTTTATTTTTTGAAACTTTTGAAAAAAAAACACTTTTCTTCATTTCTGTTATAACATTGCCATAGGTGTAGGCCATTTATATATTTTCCGAAAAACTCCAAGAGATGCCTTGGTGCTAGGACGTTGCTAAGACCCTCCCAACGTATTAAAACCTTCCCCATCATAGTAGCTCTGACCTCAGCAATGCTGTGACGGAGGAGACAATGAACGGTAGGGTTTCAGAGCTCAGTCCTGTGATGGTGGAGGTGAGCAGTAACAGCTAAGAGTGTCTTAGCAACGAGGCAGGACAAGCTGGTGCCATCTCTGGGAGTTTTTCTGGCAAGGCTTCGAGAGGTGACCAACACCTATAATAACGGCATTATCTAACTTCAGTCAGAGCTCCAGTTTGTTTTTATCTACAAACACCCCTTACCTGCATAGGTAGTTGTTTTTTTCTATTAAGGTGAACTAACCCTTTAAGCCATTGTTTCACACTTCCACCATATTGAATTAAACTTTAAATGGAAAAAAGGTTGGATTGGTAGGACTTGAAGCTGGCTGTGGACATCACCAGGGGCGGACTGACAACTCATGGGGCCCGTGGGCAATAGGGGATCATGGGGCCCCTGTGTCCTTGCCCACACTCAAAAAAGCCTATAAAAAAGGTACCAGGGGCATTTCATGGGGCCCCCTACTGACCCCAGGCCCTCAGGCAGTACCCAAGTGCTCGAAAGTGCTCGAATGCTCAGTCTGGACATTACACACATGTTGCATGTTTGACAACTGTCCAACTTCCAGATTCTGTTTATGTATGCACACTTTTAATCTACAAAGGTGATTGTGTGTGTGTGCAGCAAACACCACAAATGACCCTTTTTCTTGGGAAATCATCAGTTCACACAAAATTGACACTGGTCAGTACATGTCCCTCTGAGATTCAGTGATTGGGTCTGTTTGAGCTCAAAGTTAAAAGCATCAAGGTTTCTTTATCTGACAGCTGTCACACAAACACGTATGCTTGGCCCACCTGAGCATACAAACACATGCAAACAAAGTAGGGTGGAAAGGCAATGTGAGTAGGTGCTACCTGGTACCAATTTATCTCAAGAAGTAAACAACCTTTTACCAAGCTTTCCAATTGACCGATCAGCATGAAAACCATGGGATGGGGCAGAACACCTTGCAACTCTATTAATTAGGCTGGCCATACCCTGAGCAGGTTTTGGCTAGTTCCTGATGAACTGGCCAAAATTAGCTCAGTGGGTGTCCCTGCCAGCCTTGCTATCTTTACCAAATTCAACTGTTCTATCAACTTTTGTTGAAGGAACCTGCTGGAAAGTTTTGGCCAAACAGCGGCTGTATCCAAACAGATGCAGCTGCTGTTTCAGTATTTTGATAGCTGGATGATTCATTCATCTGTGCCGTTTAGTGTGGATAAAGGAATCTGCTGAAGCTGGAAACTAATGGAAGTTTAAAGCTGAACTCTGGGCACAAAAACATTTATTTAAATATATCCTCCAATAGCAACAACTGAGATAAATCCATTTTGTATGCATCAAATACATTTGCAAACCCAGATATTACCATACGATTGACATAACTGCATTGCTGTACAGAAAGCACAGCAGTGGAAGGGACCCAGCAGGCTCCACCTCCTACAGGCTGCTTGCAAGAGGAGGTGGAGACAAGACCAGTCACCCTGCACAGGGAGGGAGAGCAGCAGTGACCGGTCTTTGTTACAGGAAGCTCCTGCACAAAGGCTAATTTAACACTGGATTAGTGCACAGAAGATATACTCAAAGCACACCAAGATTTAGGCAATACTACACATGCCTCTTGTAATTAGCCATTAGTTGTTTATCCTGGAGCTTGGTATGTAAAATCTTTGAAAACCTTTACATATACCCAGTGAAGTTTTTAAAAGCTTGTCTTGGAGTTCAGAAAAATGGGGGCGGAGAGATGGATGAAGTTACACACTGCAGAGCTCAGTGAAGAGAGCTCAGAGAGCTGATTGGAGGGAAGGGACACACCCCCTTCCACATAGCTCACAGGAGCAGAGCTGAGTCTGTCAAGCTGCTGGAGATCCCTCCCCTGTCACCATTTTTCTCTTGGTGTCAGGAAAACTTGTCAGACGTGATTATGCTGATAGCAGAGGAACAAACCAGCAGACAGAAATTACACTTAGTTCTCCTAATTGGGACAAGTACACATTATAGAGGGATATGCTTTGTTTATATTTCATGTCTGAGGTTTACAACCACTTTTAGCCCGGGTTCACACTTGTGCGGTGTGGCATATCGCATGTGAACTGCACCGCAACTGCACCGCATTCCTGTGCAAATCACATGTGAATTCTGTGCGGTGCGGTTTGAGCCATACATTATGTATGGCTCAAATCGCACTGCATCCGCACCAAAAAGGTGCAGGACCCTTTTTTTGGTCCGCACTAGAATCGGATCGGTATTCATGTTTTGTGGACCGATTGCGGGGTGTTGTTAATGTAACAAACACACCTGCAGTGGTTCGCATGAACGGGGTGCGATTGTGATGCGGTGCGGAATTCGCACAGAAAAAGCAGCGCATCAGTGTGAACCCAGGCTCAATGTTTCAATATTGAATCACCCAGATGAAATTGTTGTCCCCATTGTGGGATTTTGCTATGAATCAGACGTTTCCTTCACCCCCAAGAAGTGATAGAAGCAAAGTTACTTACTATAGACATGAGTGTTAAAACATAATGCTGGAGATTAGCCCCATGATACTCCACCATCCTGTTGTCAGCAACCACCATCACTTCAACATAACGAGGATAGGACAAAAAACGCTTTGTTCTTCTAAGAGTTTGTGTTCCATTGACCTTATCAGCGTTATCAAATGAAGGATCCTGGTCTACTAACAGTCCATCTCTCATGTTCTGCCCATCTGAAAATACGTTCTCTTGTCCCTTCGGAGTTCCTCTTTTCCTCTGTTTAATTCTACCTTGTTTTTGACCTGCAGTGAGATTTTAAAAAGAGACAACGTAAGCAGAGGAAATACCACAAACCACCAATATCACTGAACAATTCTCATGTTATTTCACAGAAATGTAGTTATACGTATATTAAAATTAATTTCCCGGTTTCAGAGGAAAATCTCACCACTTAGTACAGCTAAAGGGGACTTTTAGCGAGGATGTATTTTAAAGGATAATTGTAATGTGCACCTAAGAACAATTTCACCTTTTTGTGGGTAATTGTATATCTGGGGATGTAGTCAGCATGCCTGCAGATAAATTTATATTTAATCAACCACACACAGAGTCTATTGTTTTCCAGCACGCTAACGGCTGCCATAGACAACTGGAATTTCGCCGATTTCTGCTGAATCAACCAAAATTTGAGCTGTGGGTGGCTCTGTAAGCACCACCGAAGGCTCAACAAAAGTCGATTTTTCAATTATTTTTTGTCAAAGGAGTCGGGTGGACACAATTGTTGGAGAAGCAGTCACTGATTGATGGGGGAAATCAAGCAATTTTGTTCCTTCAACCCTTGGTTGAAAGAAAGGAAATTAGTTAATTTATGACCTGCCTTAGGAAGGGGAACGTTTTCAGAGCAGTTAGGCAAAATAACACTGTTACTGACACCTGTGGTTGTCAAGCTGGCCATACATTACAATTTTCTTAATTGATTGCTTTTAGATTTACCAGTTATTGTTATACCAGCCACAGGTGTCAATACCAATGTTATTTTACCTAATTTTTTTTTTTTTTTAAAGTCCGCAAACGTGCAACTATAACGAAAAACCCGTAAGTGTTCACAAAAAAAGTGCAAGTGCAAAACACCACACGAAAAAGTGCACTTAGGGGTGTGCTTTGTTCTACCCCCGAAGGGGTTGGACCACTACCCTGATCCCCCGGGGCACGAAGCTCCTGAGGGACAAGGTTCCCATTTGGTCCTCCTGGCCAAAAGGCCTGGTGGACCACCGTTCCTTGTGTCCAGCCAAAGGCGGACACCCAGTGTCAGGGGGCTCTCCCGAAGAGAAAACCCCCCAGGGACAGGAGAGGAAGGAACCAAAAGGCCACACATCCTCCCCCTAGACTTCAGGGCAGGCCCGAGGACCCACACCCTCCATCCTGTGAGAAAAACATACACATAAGTAAAGAAAAAGTGACAAAACGTGGGAGGTGTAATAAATTAAATAAATAGAAAATAAAAAAGTGGTCGTGCCAAATAGTGCACAGACCAGGCCCTGAGGCCTGCAATACTCCAAAAGTGCAATACTCCTAAAGCCGGCCATACATGGAGCAATTTGCTTTCCTGCAAGGTTTGCAAGAAAGAAAATCACTCAGTTCCCTTATCAACATAGTCAGGGAGAACACGGTGATTTCTGCTAGCGACTATAATAGCAGAAATCGCACAAAAAATCCAACAGGCTGGTTGTACCCAAGTTGATTGATCAACTTGGGTACATCCAGCCTGCCCATACATGGTTCAAATCTTGGCTGAACTGGCCAAGATTTGCACCATCTATGATCGACTTAAAACTGCCTCCTTCTCTTCCTAATAAGGCAGGCCATAAATTAACAACATTTCTTTCCTTCAACCCAGGGTTAAAGGAAAGAAAATTGCTTGATTCCACCATCAATACATTAAGTAATAATGGAAGAACCCCTCCTGTGGAGCTATTGTACTGTGACATCAGGAGGGCTTTCAGCCATCAGAATACAATGATCACTGCTTTACAATGATCAAATAAACAAAACCCTACAGGTTGGTTGTACTTAAGTCGATCGATAGACTGACTTCACTACAACCAGCATGACCATACATGTATTGAATTTCAGCCATTTCCTGCTGAACCAGCCAAATTTTAATCCATCTATTGCTGGCGTAACACCCTATGCTTACTAACCTGTGTAAGACAGATGTATATTACCTATTTTCATGCTACTGGTCCAGCCATGTGATCCCACTCCCCTGTGTCAGCTAGTGCTGTTGCAGGGGAGAGGAGGGTGTACTGATAGCAGATGGGGCCATTGAAACCTATGGGTGATATCCCCGCTCCAGACTTTATTAACTATTGCCGAGCAATCTCTACTCTCCCCTGCAGCCACCGCTGGCTGACACAGGGGAGATCACGTGACCAAACCGGATCATCCTGAAAATAGTAAGTATCAGTACAGTGGCTAAATGGTTAGCCCTTCCACCTAACAGCATAAGGGCTGTTGGTTTGAATCCCAACCATGGCACCACCTGCCTGGAGTTTGCATGTTCTCCCTGTACCTGTGTGGGTTTCCTCCTACATTCTCAAGACATGCTGGTAGGTTAATTGGATCCTGTCTAAATTGGCTCTAGTATGTGTATGTATGAATGTGAGTTAGGGACCTTAGATTGTACCCTCCTTGAGGGTTAGGGACTGATGTGAATGTAAAATATATATATGTAAAGCACTGCACAAATTGATGATGCTATATAAGTACCTGTAATAATAATATATACATTTTGCTTTCAAAAGTTAGTTAGCATAGGCGTTAGAAAGAAAGAGGGGACAGTTTTAAGAGTAGTTAGGTTTATCCTGGAATTGCACTTTCAGGGATCTAAACATTTCTGACTTTATTAACTAGAGAAAGATATTTATTTAAACCAGAGTTTCCCTTAGTTGCAAAACTGGGTGGCACAGTAGTTTACTGGTTAGAACATCTTCTCCTTTGCAGTAAATGGGTCACGGGTTTGATTCCCGAACATGGTGCCTCCTGCATGGAGTTTGCATGTTCTCCCTGTGCTTGTGTGGGTTTCCACTGGGTGCTCCAGTTTCCTCCCACACGCCAAAGACATGCTGGTAGGTTAATTGGATCCTGTCTAAATTGCCCCTAGTATGTGTATGTATGAATGTGAGTTATGGACCTTAGATTGTACACCCCTTGAGGGTTAGGGGCTGATGTGAACATTCAATATATACAGTCATGGCCGAAATTGTGGCACCCTTGATATTTTTCCTGAAAATCAAGTATTTCACACAAAAAAGGTATTGCATTAACACATGTTTTGCTATACACATGTTTATTCCCTTTGTATGTATTGGAACAAATATAAAACAGAGGCAGAAAAGCAAATATGACATAATGTCACACAAAACCCCAAAAATGGGCTGGACAAAAGTATTGGCACCCTTAACTTAATATTTGGTTGCACACCCTTTGGAAAACATAACTGAAATCAGTCGCTTCCTATAACCATCAATAAGCTTCTGACACCTCTCACCCGGAAATTTTGGGACCACTCTTCCTTTGCAAACAGCTCCAGGTCTCTCTTATTGGAAGGACACCTTTTCCCAACAGCAATTTTAAGATCTCTCCACAGGTGTTCAATGGGATTTAGATCTGGGCTCATTGCTGGCCACTTCAGAACTCTCCAGCGCTTCTTTGCCATCCATTTCTGAGTGCTTTTTGACGTATGTTTGGGGTCATTGTCCTGCTGGAAGACCCAGGATCTTGGACGCAAACCCAGCTTTCTGACACTGGGCCCTACAGTGCGACCCAAAATCCTTTGGTAATCCTCAGATTTCATGATGCCTTGCACACAGTCAAGGCACCCAGTGCCAGAGGCAGCAAAACAACCCCAAAACATCATTGAACCTCCACCATATTTTACCGTAGGTACTGTGTTTTGTTCTTTGTAGGCCTCATTCCGTTTTCGGTAAACAGTAGAATGATGTGCTTTACCGAAAAGCTCTATCTTGGTCTCATCTGTCCACAAGACGTTTTCCCAGAAGGCTTTTGGCTTACTCAAGTACATTTTGGCAAACTGTAGTCTTGCTTTTTTATGTCTCTGTGTCAGCAGTGGGGTCCTCCTGGGTCTCCTGCCATAGCGTTTCATTTCATTTAAATGTCGACGGATAGTTCGCGCTGACACTGATGCTCCCTGAGCCTGCAGGACAGCTTGAATGTCTTTGGAACATGTTTGGGGCTGCTTATCCACCATCCGGACTATTCTGCGTTGCAATCTTTCATCAATTTTCCTCATCCGTCCACGACCAGGGAGATTAGCTACAGTGCCATGGGTTGCAAACTTCTTGATAATGTTGCGCACTGTGGACAAAGGCAAATCTAGTTCTCTGGAGATGGACTTGTAACCTTGAGATTGTTGATATTTTGCCACAATTTTGGTTCTCAGGTCCTCAGACAGTTCTCGTCTCCTCTTTCTGTTGTCCATGCTTAGTGTGGCACAGACAGACACACAATGCAAAGGTTAAAGTGAACGTCTCTCCTTTTTATCTGCTTTCAGGTGTGATTTCTATATTGCCCACACCTGTTACTTGCCCCAGGTGAGTTTACAGGAGCATCACATGCTTGTAACATTCTTATTTATCCGCAGTTGTGAAAGGGTGCCAATACTTTTGTCCAGCCATTTTTGGAGGTTTGTGTGACATTATGTCGAATTTGCTTTCTTTCCTCCCTTTTTTTTGTTTTGTCCCAATACACACAAAGGGAATAAACATGTGTATAGCAAAAACATGTGTTAATGCAATACGTTTCGTGAGAAATACATGATTTTCAGGAAAAATATCAAGGGTGCCAACAATTTCGGCCATGACTGTATATGTGTAAATTGACAGTGCTATATAAGTACCTAAAATAAATAAAAAGTATGTCAAAGCTAAATAGGAAAAAAAACATGCAGTACATCTCTGAAATACATGCACATTTTCCATATTTTTATCCCCTAAAAACTTTACAAATATAAATAAATACCCAGTGACCTACCAGAAGTGCACTCAGTTCCTAAAGTCTGTTCTGGATTGACAGCACACAGCATTTTTGTGGATTAAGTGGTGTCAGCCTGCCCAGCTTTCTTTTGCTAACCTTAAACTCTCCCCCCTATCCTATTCTACACAACATAAACACAAGAGACGAGCTCGGGTTCAGCTCTGGGT